CAACAATAAAAACTCAAAGAAGCCTTTGATCCCCCGTCTTCATCGCAGAAGCAGGAATCCCTCTGTTGAATCACATTCTGAGAAAGTGGTTGGAGTTGTTGACAAACTAGAGTTATCTAGAAGCACTGAGGACAATGCAAAAATTCTGGAGAGACTTTTGTCGGATTCTAGAAGATTGGCAAGCCTTAGAGTCAGCCTAAGAGATCTGAAAAGCAAGCTGGAGATAAACGAGAAGCCAGGCAAGTTCACTAACCCTGATTTTGCTAGAGTGAGGAAACAGCTGAAAGAAATGGAAGAAGCCATCTTTCAGCTTACAAACACAAATGAGATTCTATCGAACGAAATTGAGGAGACCGGAGATGCCAGAGATATCTATAGAAAAGTGGTTATGGAGAAGTCGAGGAATGGGTCTGAGAAGATAGAGCAGATGCAGCAAGAAATGCAGAACATTGAGCGAACAGTGCTAAAGCTTGAAGAGGGAGCAGCCAAGAGTAAAGGAAGGAAAAAGTTCTCTGAGAGTAGGACAGTGATACTCTTGAGAGACATTATCCATAAAGGTGGCAAAAGGACAGCGAGAAAGAAGAAAAATCGTTTCTGCGGCTGTATGAGATCTTCTGGTAATGAAGAGTAGGGTGGATATTAACGTAACAGCATCTAGTTTACTATTTATTTTTCACTATAATCATGGAACTGACTCTAGAAGTACTTTGTGGCATTGTTTCTGAAATATTAGAGCAAATTAGTAATCTTTTTAGTTTCTGCTAAACTCTGTATGTATCTGGTTTGACTCTATGTTTCGAACTTAGCTTTTCTAAAAGTCCAGTTTTGGATGTTCTTTCTGGAAGATTATGAACTAGAATGTGATATTATATTACCTACTAGAATGAAAGTATCTTACAAGAACGTTGCTTATGCCTTATGTTATGGAAACAGTGATAGGCTAATAGGATCTGGAACATTACAAAGATACAAGAATTTTTCCATAGCTTAACCATATTGTTTTTGATTCACTGATTTGGGTTGAGAGAAGGAAATGCTGGAATAGACCGTAGTATCAGCTTCCGGCCATTACCTCTCCTCCTTAGGATTGAGCCCGACTCCGAGGAGCCAGGTTGAGGGGGAGAGACTCTCTTGCTGTTGGGAGAGATGGCCTTGATGTTAGCTATAGGAGAATTGAGGAGAATCTCAGGCATAATCTCTGTTTTGTCTTCAGCCACAGTTTCAAGAGGCTTCTTCTCATTCTGTGATTGCGTCAAACCACTATCTGGTTTTCTGAAAGAGGAAGAACCCGTGCCAAGAAAAAACTGTGTCGGAGGCAGTCTGTTCTTAGACAAGAATGGCTGATGAACCACCAAATGTCTGCAAAACAAAGGTAACAGCAAATCAGTAGCTGCCTTGTTTGTATATTGTTTGAAACATCGATACAATTACCTGTACGGTGGCAGTGGTGTCGAAGGTTGATCAGAACTTGGGTTCTGCTCCACTTCTTTCGACACTTCGATGTTGTGTTGAATTTTTGCTAATCTTTTCTCATATGCCTCCTGATCCTCCTCTAGTTTGCTCTCCATGATAACAAGTAAAGACCCTGAGATTAAAATAATGTCAAATCAAAAGACTTTGGTTCTGGGATTATAAACAGTAATGGAAAATGGAGATGCGGATACTAACCTTCTTTTCTGCCGAATACATTTTTGCATCCTTCACATCTACAGTTCACGGAACAGCCGACTCCACCCTATAAGATCATTAGAAACAAAGTATCTGAATCAGACCATGGAATATAGCTTACACAGACAAATATTGAATACAATGATGAAAGAAAAACCTGATAGCATTCACAGTATTTCTTTAGACAGTTTGATTTCTTGCAGTTGCAGCCGCGTTTGTGTCGTGCAGAAGCTGGGGTTTTACTTGCATCATCCTGTGCAAGATAACAGTGTCATTCCTCAGATTAATGGAGGACAGAGAGAGTGAGAGCGCGAAGGGAATAAGAAGATGGAATAGAGAGCTCTTACACCAGCTTCCATGATGGAATCTGCGCTTCTGATGACTTTAGGAGCAAATGCAAGTGGATTTCGGGATTCAATCTGTTTGCGGGTAGCCAAAACAGTTTCTTCATGGATAGGTTTGTTGAAGCAATCTATACATGAACATGGCTCTATGCAATAAACCCCAGCAGCAAAGCATTCACAGTAACTGCAGAGATAAAAGAGACTCAAACAATAGTTAACCAATTCAAGGCAATTCAGTTAACATTTTGAACAGGCAAGAATTAAAGAGAAGCTAGGGGTATAGGCTTACAGCTTCAAACACTTTGACTTTTTGCAGTTGCATCGCTTACATGACTCACCCTCTCCAGCTTGTTCAGATTTACGCCTGCACATTTACGCCAACAGATAAGAAAAACAAAAATGTAGATATACAAACTGTTATGTAACTTTTCTCAAGAAATAACTTGCATCTTTTTCTTAAGACTGCCCAGATTCAACTCTGGGAATGCCAATGCTTTGGGAATTTCTTCTACAGGTTCATTTTCTGCCTGGTCCGAAGTTTCTTGCACAGTGTCTTGGGAGTGAATTGGAGTAATAGAGCCTGAGAAACTCTTTTGAATCTCCCCAGATATGGAATAGTCATGTATGAGATTAATGTTACTGTCCTTTGCAGACATTGCAACGGCGTTTAGATGAAGACCAATACCAGGTACAACACATCTCGAGGAAGATTCACCAGTCACATTATTGTCACACACAGATTGCTGATCATCAACTATATCCTTCTTCCGCTTCCCTGGCATCTCAAAGTCAAGGCAGCGTCTTCGCATGCCACCACGATGCAAGTTAAAGACAGACTACCACAAACAAACAACACAAATAAGCATCTCAGTTTAATCAAAAGCCCAAATATAGTTAATATTCACATTTGAGGGAAAAAAAATAAATCATTTTGAAATGTATTCCTGAATCTACCTCGTTGGGAAGAACAGCCAAAGGCTCATTTTCATTACTGGATCCATTGGCTGGAATATCTTCAGTGATTTTAGGCCGCTTTGTTGACTTGACACCAGCGCAGAACCGTCTTTCCGAGCTCGATATTTTATCCACCAAACATCTAAAAGCCTCTGAATCATTCGGAGATCGAAATACTAACAGCTCAGTAGCATCTGAGATCAAACGTCCACAATCAGGAGTGTCCTTCTCCTCCCGAACATCAAGCATCTTCTGAAGCCCCATCTTAACATCCTCGGAAGACGAACCACTGTCTCCTCGAGGAGGATCAGATGAAGCTTCAATAACAACATCTTCAGTGCAAGGTGAATCACTATCCTCAGGAGTTTGACTGCCAAACTTCAAGATCTGTGGCAGCTCATAAGACGTTTCAACGGAAGTTTCTTCTTCATCTTCCAAAGAAGCTTCTTTATTTAGATCTTCAATAACTGGTACTACAACTTCTTCTTTAATAGCAGATCCATCTAAAGACTCTAAGTGCTTTGCACGATCAACAGAGTTATGACTACAACAACAAAAACACCAATTACAACACTAAACATCATCCTCTACTAAAACAACAAGAAGAGAATTTGGTTGTTTTACCATCTGAAGAATCTGGATTCTCTATGAGAATTGACGTGAGGAGAAGTGAAAACAGGAGGAGGAGATGTGAAACTCAGAGAGCTAAACGTTTGAGCAGTGGAGATAGATTTGACAGACTCAATTGGAGAGAGATTGCTTATGTAGTTGAACACTGGAGAATCCTACATTGGAAGCCAATTAAAGTTAAAAAGGAGCCAAATTTGCAGACCACAACAACAAAAATATTTGCCAAAAAGACAAAAAATCCCTGATATTTCGAAACAAAATGAGAAATGTTTGGTCAATTCAAGAAATTGACCTCGTCAACCAAAAACCCAACAAATTTTTTTGCAAACCCTGAAGCGAGAAACATGAAGCGAAACCCAGAAAACAGAACACTAGAGAGACGACGAAAGGAGTGAACTTTGAGGAAAATAAGAGATGGGTACTGAAGAAAAAACCTCGAATTTGGATTTGGGAGTTGAAGTTCCGATCTGGGAAGTATGATTCTTCTGAGGTTTGTCCATTTTCCAGCAAAAATCACATCTACATTGCCTCTATGCAGACACTGTTTTTTGTTTTTTTCAATCTAGGGTTGTTGTTGGATTTCGAAAAAAAAAAAAAAAAAACTTTGTCCGCGCCGGTGCGAAACAGTGTGAAGAGAGCGTCACACAGTGGGAAAACTTTTAGAAAGTCCAAATTCATTTTATCACTCTTTAGTCCATCCACTAAGTGACGTCATCTTCACATTACATGGACCTATAATACTGAGGCCCAGTTCTTACTTTGGTGGCCCAATTTACTCTTTTTAGGGCTTTCGGTTAACCGATCGGTTATCGGTTGGATTCATTCGGTTTTGACTATTTCGGTTTCAAAATTTAGTATCCATTCGGATATTATAAAATTTAGTTCCATTCGGATATTTTAAATTTTCGGTTCGGTTTCGGTTCGGTTCCGGTTATTTAGGTTTTAAAATTTAGTATCCATTCGGTTATTTTGCTTATGATATTTTCGGATATTTCAGTTATTTTCGAGTATTTTCGGATATTTTTGAATATATTTCGGTTATTTTCGAGTATTTTAACTATTTTTACATATTTTTCAAGTATTTTTGATTATTTGGTATATAAATAACTAATTATTTTGGAAATATAATTGTATTTCAGATATTTCGGTTCGGTATCGATTCGGTTACGGTTATTAAATTTACTATCCATTCAATTATTTTCAAATTTTCGGTTCGGTTCGGTTTTTTTGCTTCGGTTTCGGCTAGGTACATTCGGTTCGGTTTATTTGCCCAGACCTATTTTTACCAATGAACATAACAATTTGCAGAAAAAGTGTAAGCTTCACAAATCGTATCGAATAGTTGATAAATGTTTCTACTCTGGGAATTGATTTAGAATTCATGTATAATTACAAAAAAAAAAATTTAGTTCACAAATTGTTTTTACATTTGTGGTATTATACAACGAATGTTGTGAATTGATAAATGACTTAACATTTTTATTACACAACCATTGTAAAAACCAACAAACGCAAATGTGCTACTACTAAACTAGTAAAATGTTTGCGTATGTTGTTTGTGTAAGTTAAAGCTACCAACTAGAAGTTGACATTCATCACAAAGATTCAAAGAATTTTAATGGTGTGGAGTGAGAGAAGGAAACGTTGGAAACGAACGTATCAGATTCCTGCCACCAGTTCTTCTCCATGGAGACGACTCTGATGAATCAAGATGAGCCAAAGAAACCCTTTTGCTGTTGGGAGATAGACTATTGATGTTAGCTATTGGAGAATGGATTAGATTCTCGGACATATCATCATCAATATCTTCTGTGATTGTCTCAATCCTTGAATGTGACAACAAACTCATGTCTGGTTTTCTGATGTTGTATATCCCTGAAGAAGATGATCCAATAGCTCCATGATGAAAATGAGACTGTGGGGGAAGTAGTCTGTTGTTGGATGAGAGTGGAAGTTGAGCCAGTGGTTGTCTGAAAACAAAGGTTAATAAAGTAAATCAGGAGTTGTCCATAAATGGATACATATTTGATTGTTTTAAGATTGTTTCGTTACCTTATTGGCATTGGTGTTGAAGGTTGAGCAGCAGGAATGAACAACTCAACATTCTGTTGTTTTTTCATTGTTCCGCTTTTGCCAGATGTTTCGTTTTCCTCATCTTGTTCGAACAAAGACCCTGCAGAGATTGTGTAATCTTGTCAAATAAAAGATCAAGAGACTTGAGGTTTATGGAAGATGTGGAAATAAAAGACTAACCATCTTTTCTGCCAAATGCATTTTTACATCCTTCACATCTACAGTTTATAGAACAGCCGACTCCGCCCTATAGGATCAATGTATCAGAATCGATCCACGGAAGAGAATCATACATAGATGTGTATGGAGTTTAACGAATATACCTGATAGCATTCACAGTATTTCTTCAGACAGTTTGATTTCTTGCAGTTACAGCCACGTTTGTGTCGCGCTGAAGCTGGAGTTTTACTTGCATCCTCCTGTGAATCAATAAAAATTTTAATAGCCTTTTCAATGAGATAAATTGGATTGCGATTAATAAGTAAAAGGAAATGAGAACACATACACCAACTTCAATGATGGAATCCGAGTTTCTGATAACTTTTGGAGCAAATGCAAGCGGATTGCGGGATTCAATCTGTTTACGAGTAGCTAGGACAACGTCTTCATGGATAGGTTTATTGAAGCAATCTATACATGAACATGGCTCTATGCAATAAACTCCAGCAGCAAAGCATTCACAGTAACTGCAGAGAGAAACACATTAAAGAGACTCACCAAAAACTACTTTAAAGCAAAGCCAAAGATTGGGGTATTCAACTTACAGCTTCAAACACTTGGATTTTTTGCAGTTACACCGTTTACATGACGACCCGCCTTCTCCTGATTGTTCGGACTTACGCCTGCGCGTTTCAAATGCCAACAGATTGTTAGGAAAAAGGAAAATGATTTACCACATATCTGTTTGTGCAAGTTTCAGGACAAACTTGCCTTTTTTTCTTGGGGCTTATTGGAGTCAATTCTACTAAACCTGAAGACTTTGGAACCACTTCTATAACTTTACTAGCATCTTTCCCGGTTTCATTTTCTCTCACACTGTCGTGCTGCGACTGAAGAAGCGGAGTGGTAGAACTTTGCAAACCGACTTTCATGTTTACGGAAAATGAGTACTCATTAGCAACATTGTTATCCTTAGAGGGCATTGCAACGGCGTTAAGATGCAGACCAATGCTAGGTACTACACAACTCGATGAAGATTCACCCACTGTTTGCTGATTATTCCCGGGAATCTCAAAGTCTAAACACCGTCTTCTCACACCACGGTGCAAGATCGAAAGAGCCTGTCACACACAAACACAAAAGAGAAACATTTCAGAGACAATGATAAATCAAGAACCAAAAGCTAAAGTAGTATCCACAAAGCCTTTTACTCACATCAACAGACTCAGATTCATTATTGCCTACATTGGTATTCGAAACAGGCTTTGATGTTGGCATTGTACCACCACGTAAACGTGCTTCAGAGTTTGAAGTTTTCTTCAACAAGCAACTAAAAGCCTCTGACTCCCTCGGTGAGCCGTAAATTAGTTCTGTTGTAGCAGAAATCAAAGTTTCCCAATCTGGAGTATCACTTTTCTTCTTGACATTGTCCATCATCTTCTGCAAATCCTTCCCACTATCTTCACAACAACCATTGCCTCTCACATCATTGCTAACTCTAGGAGTATTGCAGTCATTCTTGTGACTTTGCGCCGGTTCGCTATTTTCAACTAAAGCTTCTTCATTTCCTTCTTCTCCAATGGAAGCAACTTCTTTAGAAGCAGACCCATCTTTTTGACTGCAACCAAACACATTCCACTTAACAACTTTGCAAAGTACACTAAGAAAAACTCAGAGGAGAGGCTTTGATTTTACCTTCTGAAACGAGATTCTTTATGAGAAACCGCGTGAGGGGAAGTGAAAACAGAAGGTGGAGATGTGAAATTGAGAGAGCTTAACGTTTGAGTGATTGGAATTGATTTGAGAGTCTTAATTGGTGAGAGACTGCATATGTAATTAAACACTGGTGAATCCTGCATTACACAAAACACTTTGATCTCAATTTATCTCCAACCATCAAAACCAAAACATTGCACACAATCCATCATCACTCGAGAAACAGAATCAAAAACTCAATCTTTGACTAAAATGCAACAAATTGAGAAGGGTTTTACACAAAACCATACGATTCAATGAAGAAAAGTCGAACAGGCACCAAAAACCATCACAGAAACAGAGGAACAACGAGAAAAAAACAATAAAGCATGAAACTTTAACCAAAACAAGAGATGGGTATTAAAATAAAAACCTCGACTTTGAGTTTAGAAACTGGAGTCCCGATCTGGGTTACACTCTTTTGCGGTGTATCCATTTTCTAACACCAAAAACAATCACTCACATCTCTCTCAACTCTTTAAGGGTTGAAGAAGAAGTAAGAAGAGAGATTCAAAGAAGAGAAGAAGCGGGAAGATAACGATTAGATAGTCCAAACCAAATCCAACCACAAAAGGTCACTACTTAGATGACCCCAACACTTGTCTCTGTCTTCTCTTTCTTTATGTTTTCTATATATACACCTCTACGTACACGTCTCCTCGAGAATTCATTCACTCACTTTGTCTCTCTGTAAAAAAATTTTTTTTTGCTTTTAATAAAGTAACGGACATTACCTTGATCTTTGCTTCTTTTTTTTTTTCCTTTTGATGGTAGAATAAAATAAAAAAAGTGTAACTGCAATAATTACAGTTCCTTTTCGCTGCTTCTGTTTTGTTTGTATATAAAAGATGAACAAATAAAGAAATAAATTCCTATCTTTTCTCTTTAATTTTTGTTTTATTTGTTCGTTTTTTTATTTATGTGACTCCATTGACTACTTGTCAGTTGTCATTGTTGATATACCTATAATTTATTTGACCGTATCAACAGTGATTTGTTTAGATAGCTAATCGAATCTGTTATTACATAAAAAAAGTTTTATCACATCATTTTGACTTAGTATCATGTAACGGTATCAACACATCAGCACGGTGAAATTAAATTTATTAGTAATATGGAGAAAACAAATTATTTTTGTGCTCGATAAATGTAATTATCTCGTGAGAATACATATGATAATTAATAAATGATACTATTACTAAGTATTGAGTTAAACAAGAATTCTAGAACGGAATGAAAAAGAAACACACGTTAGAGAAGAGATTACAACTTACAAGGCTTTTTTAACATGGAGATTTGTAGTTAATAAAAGATATTTGCCGCTGAATATGCTAATCACGAGAAAGCACTTATGACTTATGAGTAATCATCATGACACTTAAATTGAAATTAATTGGTCAATTATTCGAAGTTATAGTGATAATCATGATTCCAATAGTAATTTTTTTTTAATGTAACGTTCGGAGATTTTCAAGCCTTTTAAAATGCATGGAATTATCATAAAATATCTCCCATATTTTAATTTAACCTATAATTTCTCTTCCTTTTTTTTGTTTTAATGATCGACGATTAATTGGTATCACCCAAACCCATAAATTCCAAGGGAAGATAGGTGCGTAATAACTGTATTCACAATCCATCATGGCATAAAAATGTATTTCCCGTGACGCTATAAAGCGAATGCTCCAAATGTTCGTAGCAAGGGTCCCTTTCATCGGTACGGGAACGTGAGATATATATAGAAAGGGAAATAGGGAACGCATTATCTTTTGTATGATGAAAAAGTCATATATTTAAGAGAAATATTAATGGATATGCATACACGAATGCATAATTGAGTCTCGTAAAGTTGCACTGTTCTTTCGCTTCTATTCACTTTTTAAAGACGCATGTACCCTTATATTATGATATTAGAAACTTCGTAGATTATAGGTTGAAATTATGTCAGACGGCAGGAGGAGATATGTGGAAGTCGAAACTAACACAATCAAGATTTGTCTAGGGTTTTATTTTAGGGATACGATAATCGTGAATTCTCAAAGAACAACAGAAACGATTGTATCCAAAGATGGCGTTCTTGATATTATTAAGAAAAAGATGACTTTGATCGTACAAGAGTTTGATCGTAAAAGGAAAAAGATGTTTGTGCTGTGAGAGCTTTGCGTAGTGTAAATTCTAGAGCGATCTTGCCTGTCGTTCTGTGAGAGCCTTGAGTCTCTTTATATAGGGGTGATAAACCGCCTCTCCAGCGATATTCTCGGAAGATTTCCATTTATCTTGAAGTCGGCTTAGAATATCGCGGAATAAGGATAATTTCCTTATTCTTCGGAGTTTCTTGGAAGATATCCTGATTTGAGTCGATCCTTCTAGATTCCCTCTTATCATTTCCGGGTATATCGGAAATGATGTCTTGCTTGGAAATGATACTTTTGAAGGCGAATATTTACTAAGTACTTGCCTCGGGTGTCTTGATGATTTCGGCTCGGGCAGCTTGGACGATGTCATGACGCCCGACCCGAGCTGAGGAGACTTTGAGAAGATTGGGCTCGGATACTCTCGTCGACTGAGCTCGGGTACTTGAGGGGAGGCGGCTCGGGCGACTTGTGAAGTTGGCTCGGACGAAGGGAGAACCCAGCTCGGATATGATGGCGTAGTCCTTTTGCCTCGGGCGATTCTGCGAAGTCGGCTTGGGGTAAAAGGAAAACTTTCTTTGCGTAGTCCCGAGCTGTCACGGCAAACGTCCCCGAGCCAGTATAGGATGACCCGAGCCGTATCAATCGGCATTCTACGAGCTAGTTCAGTGACTGATCCCGAGCTGTTTTGGCAGTTCCCCGAGCCGGTTTGGTGATACGTCCCGAGGTGTTATGTCTTAGCTCGGACTTAATGCGGGTGGAATCCGACCCCAACAGTTAGCCCCCCAGCTCGTTGTCTTGAGGAGCAAGTGATGAGCTTCATGATTATTAGTCCGAGCAGTTTAAACATTGTCCCGAGCTTATCCTTGTACGCCGAGGCTATCGGAGAGTTTGAATCCTTCGGAGGTCTGAAATCTCCTGACGATTCGAATCCCTTCGACACTTCATCTTCTTCTAGCGTGTGACGGTTGAATTTCCCTCTCGAGAAGTGGAAAAGTTTTCGCTTATTCCCGAGAATTGCGGCGGACGTGAAACTATCTCAGAGTCCACGCGCGCCCGACGCGCCGAAGCGTTTTATAAATACTCCTCTCGCGACTCATTTTTCCAGTTCTGCAATTCTTGAGCAAAATTTTAAAGGTTCGTTTCTTTTGCTCTGATCTTGATTTCTTTGTTTTCCTTTGCTCCGCTTTATTTTTCCGTTGTTTCTCCGCCGTGTTAGATCCTAGATTTGATTTTTCCGATCTCCGAATCTTGTTTTTCCAACTGTTTCTTCGATTCTCCCGAGCCCAAAAAATGCCGCTTTCAGACTCAAGCGATTCGTCCCGAGGTAGAAATGTTCCGGTTTGCAAATGAAAGATGGTTTGGAGCAGTTCAGATGGGTCCGAGGCCAATTCATCGGGTCGACCCGAGCCGGGTAACGGAGCGGAATCGTCATCTAAACAACGTGGAGATCCGAGCCACTTTGTGGCTCGGGAAGATGCAATCGCTGATATAGCTCGGGATGAGGATCTCCCTGATGATCCCGAGGCGGTTTTGAATAAGAGGACGCGTCCTCCGGCTTCGGATGAAGCTGGAGTCTCTTGTTGGCAAGATGTGCCCGAGCTGTCAGTTTTACCCGAGGTGAAGGGTGAAATGGTTACCTATGATCCCGAGGAGGGAGCCAGGCTCCTTCAGTTGGCAATTCGGGGTGCAATGGCTCAAAGGAAGAAAACCCGAGCCAAGAAAGTGAAAAAACCGGATCCTCCTGGTTCCACTCTGTCGACTTCAGACTCTCTTCGAGACTTAAAAGCACGTTTCAACTTTGGCGAAGGGGTGGCTCTGCGATTGCCGACTTCCAGTGAGAGAGCCGACGATCCTCCCGAAGGGTTCTTTACCTTGTACGAAGGATTCTTCTACTTCTGCTTCCTCTGGTTTCCAATCCCGAGGCCGATCGTTGAGTACTTATGGTCGTATAAGCTTGCTTTGGCTCAGATCACGACCCGAGGCCTTCGACACTTAGTCGGAATCTTAGTACGTGGATTCGAGACGTACAACGACATTGGTCTTGATCATCTAAGGAATTTGCTGGAGATTCGCCGTGTTCCGAGCTGTGAGATGGAGAGATATTATATTTCTCCACGTCCGAAGCGAAGGGTTATCGGCGGCTTCCCGAGCAAAGATGAGAAGTACACCGATCATTTCTTCTTCGTCGCCCTTGACGAAGATTGTGTCCCCGAGGGCTGCCTTGAAAAGATGATTGGAAAATGGAGAAAGATTGGTAGTTCATCCGTGATTCTTGTTTGTTTTCTGTTATAACTTGGCTTTAAATGATGTTTCGATCTTCTTTTGCAGATCGAGGCCCGAGCTTTCTGGATCGTATTCCCGAGGACTTTTTCAGCGTGCGTGAGGAGTTGGCTGCTCGGAAGTGTCACTGGATTAAGTATTTCTCCCAAGAAAGGGTTGAAAAGGCGTTAAGGATTCTTCACGGCGCGTCCTGTTCCACTTCCTCATCTTCTTCAGACCAAAGGCTAAGTTTTTTTACGGAGATGCAAGGGGTGAAGATGTCTTTAAGGGAAAAGAAGGCCGCCGAGAAGAAGGCGCGCGAAGAGCAGAGAACGTTAGAGGCGGCTTTCGGACCGGTGGCTCCGCCCGAGGCTATAGCGGGGACCGAGGCAACTACCGTCCCTGAGGTGATCGTTGATCCCGTAGAATCGGGTGCTGATTTAGCTGTCACCATGGCTCTGTCCGAGGTGCCAGAAGGTATCCCGATTGGGGATGTTGCAAGCCAGGTTCCCGAGGCGGGAAACACGTTGGTGGTTGGTTTGCCTGCTGGTGGGCAGACCAGGTCCAAGAGAAAGCATCCCCGAGGAGAACACTCCGGGGATAGGCGTAAAAGGTCGAAACAGGCTCATAGCTCCTCTCGGCCGATATACCAGGACAAGGTTGCTTCCGCCAACCTTATCGCTTCTTGCGCTTGGCCGCTACTTCCCGCCCCCGAAGGCTTAATCGAGGCGGAGCGATATGGTGAGGCAGCGGCGAATTTCTTGAAGGTACGTGCTCAGATGCATTCTCGTACGAGGCAGTTTTGTTTCAGGACTTGACACATCTTTGTTATTCATTCTCCAGGCCTTTTCTTCGATGAACACGATGGTTCACTCTTACGACTCAGGGGCTCGTGAAAACGCGCTGGCTATCGAACGGCGGCCGAGGCTGTTGCAGCAGCGCGAACTGCCGAGGCGTTAGTTGTTGCCGAACAGGAGTTGCGGAGGAAAGAATCCGAGGAGAATGCTCGAATTAACCGTAAGGCCGAGGCAGAGATTGAAAGGCTCAAGCGTTTGCTCATCGAAGAGAAGTCTCTTCGTGAAGTTGAAGTGGCCCGGGCGAAGAAAGCTGCCAAAAGAGAGGTCACCGAGGAGTTTATGGAGAAGGTTAAGAGGACCGAGGCGAAGTTGTCAGAGTTTGACAAAATCTCCGAGCGGTACGTGTACTTCTCTCAGGCAAAGGCTAATGCAGAGCTAATCGCCGCCCTTGAAGCTGGAGGGCAGATCGAAGATGAGAAGCTTGAGGTCAACAAGTGGAAAGAAG